CTTTGATTGTGTGGATCACAACAAATTGTGGCAAGTTCTTAAAGAGATGGGAGTACCAGACCATCTTATTTGTCTCTTGAGAAACTTATATGCAGGTCAAGAAGCAACAGTGAGAACTGGACACGGAACCACTGATTGGTTCAAAATTGGAAAAGGAGTCCAGCAAGGCTGTATACTGTCGCCCTGCCTATTTAACTTATATGCAGAGCACATCATGAGAAAGGCAGGGCTAGATGAATCAAAAGTTGGAATTAAGATTGCCGGGAGAAATATCAACAACCTAAGATATGCAGATGATACCACTCTAATGGCAGAAAGTGAAGAGGAACTAAAGAGCCTCTTGATGCGGGTGAAGAAGGAGAGTGCAAAAGTTGGCTTGAAACTCAACATTAAGAAAACCAAAATCATGGCATCCGGCCCTCTCAATTCCTGGCAAATAGATGGGGAAGAAATGGAGGTAGTGACAGATTTTATTTTTCTGGGCTCAAATATCACCTCAGATGGTGACTGCAGCCAATAAATTAAAAGACGCTTGCTCCTGGGGAGGAAAGCTATGGCAAATCTAGACAGCATACTAAAAAGCAGAGACATCACCCTGCCAACAAAAGTGCGTATAGTCCAGGCCATGGTTTTCCCAGTTGCAATGTATGGCTGTGAAAGTTGGACCATAAGAAAGGCTGAGTGCAAAAGAATTGAGGCCTTTGAACTATGGTGCTGGAGAAGACTCCTGCGAGTCCCTTGGACTGCAAGGCGTTCAAACCGGTCAGTCCTAGAAGAGATCAACCCCGACTGCTCTTTAGAAGGCCAGATCCTGAAGTTGAAACTCAAATACTTTGGCCACCTAATGAGAAGGAAGGACTCACTGGAGAAGGGCCTAATGCTGGGAAAGATTGAGGGCAATAGAAGAAGGGGACGACAGAGAATGAGATGGCTGGATGGAGTCACTGAAGCAGTAGGTGAGAACTTAAATGGACTGCAGAAGATGGTAGAGGACAGGAAGACCTGGAGGAACATTGTCCATGGGGTCGCGATGGGTCGGACACGACTTCGCAATTAACAACAACATTTAAAACAGGGAGGAGTTAATGCAATAATGTAGCATGGAAATAGGGATACTCTAGACCAGGGCTTTTCAACCTTTTCACCCATTGTACCACTTTTAGGATACGGCAATATCCCAATACCACCAGTCGCCTAGCAAGGTATCAAAAACTTGATGACCAAAAAAAAGGAAAAAAGTGATGAAGTACAGGTAGTCCTCGACTTACAACAGTTTGCTTAGTGACTGTTCGAAGTTACAATGGCACTGAAAATAGTGCCCCCCAAGCCACAGCCAAGCAAGACACCTGCCTGCCCACCTGGCGGTGCTTTTCCTTCTGTCTGAGGTTTCCATTGTTGTGAGCATTTCTGTTGAGGATTGGCAGTGGGGATGGGGTGGTGTGTGTGGGGTTTTTATTTCCCCTGTCTGATGGGTGGTTGCAGCAGGTTTTGGTCACTTCACATGACCCTGGGACACTGTGACCGTCATAAATATGAATCAGTTGCCAAGCATCTGAATGTAAATCACAAGACCCTGTAGATAAGGCAACATTCCAGCTGATTGGTGCTTCTTCAGGGCTCAGCAGAAGTGCCAGGATCAGCGCTAAGCTCCAACTGGAGCTCGGTGATGATCCTGGCACTTCCACTGAGCCCTGACAGTCCCGAAGAAGCGCCAATGAGCTGGAAAGCGGCACTGATTCTGGTGCTTCCACTGAGCCCTGACAGCCCTGCAGCTCCAGCCATCCAGGCTTGTGTGCTGCTGCCACCAGTTCAGCTCATTCCCCTCACCCACTACCACTTTTCTAGGATGGTCGTGTACTACCTGCCAGGTACCAATATACCACAGGTGGTACCCGTACCACTGGTTGAAAAGCCCTGCTCTAGACCAGGGATCTCCAATCTTGGTAACTTTAAGACTTGTGGTCTTCAACTCCCAGAATTCCTTAGCTAGCCAAGCTGGCTGAAGAATTCTGGGAGTTAAAGTCCACAAGTCTTATAGTTGCCAAGGTTGGGGACCTCTGCACTAGACAACCTGTGACCTGTTGGGTTATCCTTTCAGAGATAATTCCTTACTTAAATAGAGAAATAGAATGACCGTGTGCGGATTGTGTTGGTTTTACAATTGCATGTCATTGTAATGAAAATGAAGCATTGCCATACTTTCATGCATCATGACATCTTGATATTTTTCCATAATATATCCTGGACCACCAACAAATGTCAGGAGAGGATGATGCACCTTCCAATGTTTCTAAAGTCATCATCATTCAATGCATCAGTTGGATCTCTTCGTGTTGTTGATCTCAAGGCTGTTGATTTATTCAGGTGTAACTCAGCCTGTCGCCATCAGTCTTAGCAGTTACATCACCACATATTGTTGGAATAGACATCCTCCTCTTGGAAGGTTATTAAGCTCATTCTTATGGTTCATTATTCAATATGCATAGTAACACATTGCCATTAGTTTTTAGTTGTTTGTCAATTGGAGCTGAGGATGCCAGCCATTATCTTCAAGAGGGAAAAAGAATGTATTGAAAGCTGTCAGAAGAGCGATGGGATTTTGAAATTATTTGCAAACCACCTCCTCATCCTTTCAACACGATGTGCTGTTGGATCATTCAGTGTTGTTTGGTATAAAGATGGAGCCTTTTTGGCAATTTTTGCATTAAATTGAATCTCATGTTCGAGTGCTATTCAGGATCAGTGACAGTAGAAACCTCCAGCATGTCTCAAATTTGTTCTTTTTTAGGTAGAAGGGACACAGTGTATGAGTTTCATTGTCATCGTAGCTTTTTCAATAATTCATCTGTTGCAGATTGAATTCCAACATTTTCAATTCTGTGCTGTCTTGAGAATCTATGAAATAAATTTGAATAATTTGGTAATTTGGCATTAAGTATCCAATGTAATGTTGGATTTGCCTTTAAATAATTACAGAAGGATTCCACCCTTTCCTTGTTGGAAGGAGTTCCAAGCAAGAGATGCCTTGCAGATTGGGTGCATGGGGAGAGGGTGGGGTTGATCAAGAAGAATGTATAAAGGTCTCAGGAGTGTGTGAGAGATGCCATATCACCAGTTGAGTTAAAGCCACACTGAAAAGCCACCTGCGACACTACTGTCTACACTAGGGGTCTTCACACTTGGCCCTTTTATGACTTGTGGACTTCAACTCCCAGAATTCCTCAGCCAGGCATGTTGAAGTCCACAAGTCATAAAAGGGCCAAGTTTGAAGACCCCTGATCTACACTTTCCTTGCCAAGTTTACTTTACTGATTTCAGTTTTCCCAGGGCATTGGGGCAGATATTTTGAATCCCAATGGCAAGTCTGCTTCTACAGTCAGAGGTTGCTTCTGCTACCTACTTAGATTGAGGGAAAAGGAACTTAAAGATGATTCTCACAGTTTAGAATTTCTACCCCCCTCCCCACCAACATTCCTTGGAAAAAACAATTGAGGCTTTTAGAGTTATAAAATAGAGTTATCAACCAGCTTGCAGGTGCCTAAATCCACTGCAGAGGTATTTACCTGCATTGTTTGGTGACATGGCACACACTTTAGCATAAGAGAAGTGTCTCAATACAAATGTAAGTTGTTGAGCAAAACAGCAAAGCCCATTTTAGCTTCATTTTACAGGTACAGCGGGGATTAAAATCAGCATGTTTAGCAAAAGAAGGAAGTTGTATTTTAGAATTTCTAAGGGGCTATTTCAAAATAAATGGAGGGTTTTATTAAGGCCTTTTGCTGAAACATTTTTCTGCAAGCAGTAATTAAACCTGTGAGGGGGTAAAAAAAAAGGAGGTGAACATGTCAGCATTCATCTGTCAGCATTTTTTTTGGACTAGTTATGAAAAATGTCTTCTTTCTTTCCTTTCCTCTCCTAACTAATAGAATATGTTTAACGGGGCGATTTTAAACTAAAACTTGACATGTAGTGTTAAAAGCTATACAAACATGCACACCGACACACACACATACTGTTAAAACTTTGCCTATCATGTTAACAGATGGAATCTAATGAAAACTATGTCTGGATTTCCTAAATTCCACATGATGCAGTTAGAGTTTTCTCTGTCTCTTTCATGCCATCTGGGCTCATCCAGATTTTTACAGTCTGAACTAGTTGAATCTATAGATAGCCTTAATAATAGTAATTTTATAAAAGGTGGGTACAAGAGGTGTCCAAGTTAGAATAGTTAATTGTGATGAATGACAGTGTTGTTGAATTCTAAGTTTTTTTAATATGAGGTTTTTTTTTTCTTTTAATGACCCTGTGATTCCTTGCATCGGGGTGGAGTTCGGGTGGCTGAATAGAGCTGAGTGTTTACTGGCCGGATGCACTTCCTGACATCTATATGGTGTTAGCAGCAGATATTTTCTCTTTGTGCCCAGAGAAAGAAATATCTGGAGCTATCAAGGATCAAACTCGTAGCCTCCTGATTTTTAGGCAAGAGCTCCACCTCTAGGTCACCATGCTGTTCTCTAATTTTTTAATATAAATAATTGCTTTATATTTCAAAATCATCTTAGTGTGTAATAATTCCTATATTCCCAGAGGATACATTTTTGGATCAAAATTAAAATTAGATACTTCAACCCACGCAACCCTTTCTAAACATCAATTTATCGGTGGTCTGACTGACTATCACTGGGAGAACACTGTAAAACCAGATGGAGCTCCCCTCCTGTTCTAGTGGAATTGTTCTCACATCTGAAGAATCTGTTACATATTCCACAGATCTCGACTTAATACATGTTGATGGGACAGTGCTGAAAATATTCCCTTTGTTGTCAATTTCAATTTATATATTGTACATTCTTTATGTCTGTGTCTGGTGTTGAAGCAATTCTTCACTTAATTCATATTACTTCCAGCAAACCTGTTAAGTTGTTTCTGTGCTGCTACTCTTGATCTTTTATTCTCCTCCTTCTCCTTAATATAACCTTTTTCTGGGTGTATTACAGGATGTATTGAATAACCTCGGCTCATGTGACCTGGAAGAGGATGACCTTATGCTTGATTTGGAATTCCTAGAAGATCCGCAGCATCGACAATCTGGTAAGCCCCAAGAAAATATAAGAGTTTAAACACTTTTGTTGCCTGAGCTTTTACTCTGAGTACTTTGTATTTGTCTGAAATGGTATAGGGTTTCCTGCCTGAGCAGGGAGTTGGTCTAGAAGACCTCTAAGGTCCTTTCCAACTCTGTTATTATTATCATCATAATCATCATCATAATCATCATCATCGTTGTTGTTGTTGTTGTTGTTATTATTATTATTGAAATGAGTAGTAAATATAATTCTTAACAGGACAAAAGAAAAAATAAGGGATAGATCTAATTTAAATTGCTTTCAAGTGTATTTAGTTCAGAATGGTTCAGATTGCTTTAGGCCAGAGGTGTCAAACTGCCGGCCTGTGGGCCGGATGTGTCATCTGGAAGCTGCGCCCACCCTATTGCCGGCAATGGCAAAACCGTCCCAATACGTTGCGCGACATCACATGATGTCGCAAGTTTGACATGTCTGCATTAGGCAGTTGGCAAAGGCAGTGCTAGTTTCCTCAGATGCTCATTTCTTCCTCAACACCATTCATATTGCTGTTTTTACCGAAAAATCATGCATTTTTTCCTTCGTAAGATTAATTCTCATATCTTTCTTTGCTTCTTTTTCATACAGTTGAATCTTAATTATCTAGAAATTGGAAGGTTATTGATTCTTCAGAATCAATATCTATTGCCTATGAAATAAATAAGGAAGGGGTATCCTGATAATCTCTCTCTGTTTTGTTTTTTCTTAACTATCACCATTAATGCTTTTATATCGTTTTCTTTCACTCATTTTATATTATCACTTTAGTTTACGGCTTTGTATAAGTGGGATTCCTTTAAGATGATTCGATCTTTGTTTTAGTTGTTTTCTTTGGTTTTTTGCATCATCCATGACTTGAGATGCCTCTGCAGTTTTCTGAAATGCCTTTCAGAACTGTCTAGCCATTGCCTGCTTCCTAGGTCTGAGAGAGATTGACTGGATCAAAGACAACCAACTAGCTTCTGTGCTTAAGGAAGGACTAGAACATGTTTCTCTTAGGCCAGGGGTAGGCAACCTTGGCTCTTTTATGACTCGTGGACTTCAACGCCCAGAATTCCTGAGCCAGCCATGCTGAGGGGAAAGGGAGAGGTTTCCAAGCTGAGCCATGCTGGCTCAGGAATTCTGGGAGTTGAAGTCCACGAGTCATAAAAGAGCCAAGGTTGCCTACCCCTGTCTTAGTCAAATGCCTTTAACTGTTACACCAAACTGGGTTCCTTTGCTCCTTTGATACTTCATAAATAATAAACTGTTCCCAAGAGCTGAAAAAGTACAAAATTCTGGTTAACATCAACTGGTGTCTATCAAACTGCTGTAGCTTTTCTCTCTACAATTTGAAGACGAGCCAGTTTGGTCCAATGTTTAAGGCACCACACTAGAGAGCAGAGGAGCATGAGTTCTAGTCCTGCCTTAGTCTAGAAGCCAACAGGGTGACTTTGGACATGTCACTCCTGCTCAGCCCAACCCATCTCATAAGGTTGCTGTTGTGGGGAAAAATAAGAGAAGGAAAGCATAGTAGATTATGTTCTCCCTGCCTTGTATTATTTGTAAAAATAATAAAGGCAGGAAACAAACAAGCAAAATGAGGAAGGACCCAAGCCACATGTTTTCTTTTTCTTGTATAGGGCTGCTGTGGAGAATTAACCATAAAGTACTTGGAATATTAAAAAAAAAAGCTGCCTGATAGATGTGGTAAATTTTTATTTGAAGTCTGTTAGTGTTTTGAGAAATCTGTCAATACTGGATGCTTAAAAGTTAGCTTAATAAATCAAACATGATCTGCCTAAGGGGTGAACTGCTTATTACACTACATAAATTAGGAGCTTAAATGTTTCGAAAACACAAGAGTAATAACTGTGACAGCTTTGTACGGTAGGTTACTGTTTTTATACAGTGAAAAGCCCATCAAGCACTTACACAAAGGAGCAGTATTAAATTAACCTTTCTTGTTCTTGAATACATCTGAGATATATTCAAATATATATTATTAACATTTTAACATTCAATTGTAACTCAGAACATTCTATGTATAAATAAAGAGCTTGCACTTCAGTTATCAGAGGAAAGGATTATCGGAACAGTTGGCTTGCATAACAGTAGATATCAGTTTTATACGATAGGAATTTATTAAGTATATTCTCAAGAAAAAAGTGTTGCTCTCTCTCAAAACAGATTAAGATAGAATACAATAGCTGTAGTTTGCATATAATACTACTAGTTCTGCGTACCAGTTGGAATGCGTGTCCCTATTTAGATGAGAAAGAAGATGCAACCCCTGTGTCATGTGACTCCCCTTGGTGTGGCCGTAGCACACAATTTTATATGATACAATCTAACCGTTGTTGTTGCTTTTAACTATTTAGTCATGTCTAACTCTTGATTACTTTATAGGCAAGTACTCTCCATGCTATCATGCCGAACACAGATTAGTCATCTAAATACTGTGTTTCTAATACAGCCATCAAAACCGAGGCTACTACTTCCTTCTCTACTTCCTGCCATTTCACATTTCTCTTTTAGAAATGGCATTTCTCACATAAAAACTCATGTAGGCTCACATACTTCTTGGACTGTTGCAGAAAATGAAAACAGAAGAATCCACAAGAACACAGAGGTTGAACTCCTAGCATTTACTTTCATGGGACCTCTCTAGCAGCTTATCTCTACCAATGACATCAGAAAAAAAAACCCAGTTAATCCTCCCATAAATAGCTTGTGTGATAAGAAATCACCTAGTTGATTGTAATGATATAATCCGTATGGAGTTAAATCTAATTCCTGGGTTAATTAACTCAGTTTTGGAGTTCATATGATGTTTTTTATATGTAAAATTAGGATTTCAAAATCATCTATGAATACAACTATGTAAATTTATGCAGTAAGTATACTTTTATATAAAACTATACATAACTCTAAAATGATTAAATAGGAATGGCTAAAGCAGTGTATAAAATCAATAAATTACTCAAATCTACTGGTATTTCAAACTGAATATTAATGACATGTCTATAATACTGCATGGTAGAAATATACCCCCTAGGTATATTTATAGGTATATTTCTGAAGAAAGGGATGATGGAGATTCTAAAAACTAGTGAGCATTTCCTTAATAATCCTAATGGCTCTAATACCCAAGTGTGTAAATTGGTTAAATTTATTTTATTCTATATAAAATAAATATGTAAAATTAGCACTTGAGTCAATTAATAATAATAATAATAATAATAATAAGAGTAAAGTTGGAAGGGACCTTGGAGGTCATTTAGTTGTCAGTTGCCATTTTTGGCTAAAGTTTACATATCGGGCAACACAATTTTGTTACTTTTAAAAATAATTGTTTCACAGATAGTATAAATAGAAGTTATCAGAATACCCTAGAAATGTAATTGAAAGATCGGTAGTGACCGGTGATGGATGTCTCATTAAAACAGACATGGGCCATGTTTTTTATCACACCCTTGCCACGGAGATAATATTATGCTTTAAGAGGAATTATATTTCCCTTCCAAATCAGCTGGATAATATAAAAAAGACCAAAATTAAAGCTGTCCTGAATGTAGGGATTGGAATTTGATATAAATAGGAAGCTATTTGAGAGCTGAAATATGATTATTTATAAAATGTATTCCATGGGAAGACAATATTTTCTATTTGACCTTCTGTGTCCGATATTCTCTGCCTTAAGGCTAATTTAGTTTGCTTTGGTCCTAAAAGTCTGGTGGTGCAGTGGTTAGAATGCAGTACTGTAGGCTACTTCTGCTGATTCCTGGCTGCTTGCAGTTTGGCAGTTTGATTCTCACCAGCTCAAGGTTGACTCAGCCTTCCATCCTTCCGAGATCGGTAAAATGAGGACTCAGATCGTTGGGGTCAATATGCTGACTCTATAAACCACCTAGAGAGGCTCTAAAGCCTATGAATATATAAGGTATATAAGTCTAAGTGCTATAAATAGCATTGTTAGAAAAGTCATAATAACTCAGCTTGCTTCGAAATTCTTTTTTTCCCAGGAGGATTTGATATTATCTGCCAATAGTAAGTAGACCAATCCAACAGAGTTGTGGAATAAAAAAAATATTTATGCAAAAACTGGATTCAGATTTATCAGTTACTGCTTTATGCCAGAGAAGTGCATTTAGGACCAAAAAGGTGACCTGGAAGACGCTTTTTAAAAATTTATCCAGGTAGCCATGGTTTTATGGTCCTAAAAGGGCCCTATATAGCAATTGTACTCAGATTTAGCCTGAGAATGACTTAATTACAGCAGATATAAACTGTTCTCCTTGTGGAAAATAATAAGTTGGGATGGCTAATTCTGATTTCTGTGCATTTTGGGAACATTTTGGGTTTCAAAAGCTTGAAAAACTAACTCTAAACGTTTAAAGGTCCTAACCAATTGTTGTTCGCCTAATTATCTGAAGCACTTGAGAGTAGGACAAGAAACAGTGGGTGGAAGCTTGTTAAAGAGAGATGCAACCTGGAACTAAGGAGAAATTTATAGACAGTGAGAACAATTAATCAATGAAACACCTTTTCTCCTTGTGTTGTGGGTGCTTCATCATTTGAAATTTTCAAGAAAAGATTGGACATTCATCTGTCCAGGTGGTATAAAGTCTCCTGCTTGAACAAGGTTTTGGACTATATGACTTCCAAGATCCCTTCCAGTCCTATGATTCTATTTAACAGATTCATTGTTTTGTGTGTTTGGACAAAAGTAGGGATTGTGGTCTTAGCAAAGTTTATTGTTAATGTCTTCTCATTGTAGTGATTTTAAGATCTTTTAAGATCCATAGATCAAGGACAAAATACAATGCTATATGTACAGTTTAATTTAAGGTATACAGTAACTATACAACCTAGATCTGTAGAAGATTGTAATCTGTAATCTGTGTCGGTTACTGGGACCTTTGTTTTCTGAGCTTTCGGATTTGTGCTGGAGCCTGTCTCTGGGAACTTCTCTCTAATGACTGACTGATTGGATCCCTGCAACATTATTCTGGGACATG